GATAGATAGATAGATAGATGGATGGATGGATGGATGGATGGATGGATGGATGGATGGATGGATGGATGGATGGATGGATGGATGGATGGATGGATGGATGGATGGATGGATGGATGGATGGATGGATGGATGGATGGATGGATGGATGGATGGATGGATGGATGGATGGATGGATGGATGGATGGATGGATGGATGGATGGATGGATGGATGGATGGATGGATAGATAGATAGATAGATAGATAGATAGATAGATAGATAGATAGATAGATAGATAGATAGATAGATAGATAGATAGATAGATAGATAGATAGATAGATAGATAGATAGATAGATAGATAGATAGATAGATAGATAGATAGATAGATAGATAGATAGATAGATAGATAGATACCAAGAATTCAGTTATCTCTCTTCTGTATACAGTTTTCTCTGTGTAAATGTACAGTTGTTTGTGCCCGCAGGGTTGTCTGTGTGCCGACGGGGGTTTTAAACCCCTAACACTTTGTCATTCCTGATTGTCCACTCACAGAGATTACTTCTTCACCAACTCGCTGCACGTATCCCTTCACTCTTCACAAAATAAAGTAGCACAGCTATTGACAAACAAGATTCGAACCCAGACGATCATTGTCCTCATAGAAGAAACCCAGGCTCTGAACAGTTTGTCCTCGTGTAGGTTCCGGGACCCTGTTGTGGACAAAACACCGCCTCCTCAGAAAGCATGCCGTAAGTAAGAGTCAGCTAGTTGGAGGCTTCTGTGGAAATCAGGAGTGATTCTTCTGGAAGGCAAGGAACCAACAGTCTGCATGTACACAAGTGAGATCTGTAAAACGAATGTGCACATAGCACTCACGTTCTGGAACAAGACTAAAGTCCAGAGGGGGACGAACAACTAGAATTTTCAGCCAGAGTTTATAGCTGGCGAACGCGAAGAAGAAGAAGTAGTACAGTTTGCACTCGTCTCAAATTTCAAAGAAATCTTTTGTGTGAGAGATTTATTATGTTATCATGTGACCAAGTCATGTGATGTCAATATCAAAATGGCGACAAAACATTAATTGTAAGTATCGGACTTGCTGTAGGTAACGAGGTGTTGGTTAGTACACGTCTGTCTAAACCAAGGTAAGTCTGGAAGTGAAGGTGGTAAAAAGAAGCCCTCAAGTAGCCAAAGAAGGCTAAAAATGACGTGGATGATGATGAAAAAGCTTTCAATCAGAAGCAGAGAGAGGAACGAAAGTGTCGAAAGGTACTCAAGGGAGCTGCAACAAGTAGATACTTTAGTCAAATTTTCAAAATGCCATCTACACCAATAAAACCAGCACAGTTAGATAGCTGTAAACAATCTCTTTCCAATGGTACCTCATTTAGGCTTGTGTGTCATTTTTGAGCTAAGATATGTAGGTTTTTGTGGAGATTAGATGTAAAAAACAGCTGCTAAAACTTGTCTCCCAGAAACAAGAAGTTTTCTCTGCGCAACAAAACTGCGCAACTTTCGTTTTGGCTTTGTTTGCATTGGACAAGATGGCAGACAATGAGACTGGCTGAGCCAGCGATTGCCTGAAAAATGTCACTGCACATCTACTTAGCCACGTACCAGAAAGAAATTTTATACACAAATGTAAAATTGGACGGAGAATTCAATTATAACTAGCATTATCAGGTTCAGTAACAGTTAAAGCCTAAAGTCAACCCTGAATACTTATCGCTATTTTCAATCAAACTGATGTAACAGAAAAACAGAGGACGTCCGGCTGTTGTAGACATGCACTGTTAATCGGGTTCCTTTCCGCCATTTTCGCTTTTTATAGTGGGTGAAAATCACACCAACCGCAAAATTTCATGAGAGATTACGACCCATCCCGAAACCCCAGCCGACATTTGCGAAGCAAGTTTCCATGGTAACGGAAATTGCCAAAAGACCGCCAATTGCCGAACACCGTAGTCACTAAACAAAGGACCTTTGATATATTATCATTAATTATCAGGTGGCATAAAGAAATCTGGGAAGAAATGACCATAGATAAGAAAATCATCATCATCATTACAGCTATGTCTGTGGTCAAGCATCATTATTGGCTGTCTGTGTGTCAAGATCAGGGAACTTTTATATTTGTTTCTTATGACAGTGTCACTGACACTGTGTCAACGTATGGTTGGTTTGGTAAGATGTGTGAAGATTATCACTCACTCAGCTGTATATCTGCTCATTATAACTTGTACGCAATTTAAAAAAAAAAAAATTAATTAAAATAATGTACATGTAATAATAATGAATGCCATTTTATATTAGTGTTCAGTGTTGGTCAGACGAGTATGGTTTATTAACTTACAATATCAAAGAAAGCAGCTTTGGCCATTTATGCCATAATTTCTTGTGCTTTTACTTTTCAATATTTTGGTTACACCCAAAGTTCAGTAGAGTATTAAAATTACTAGAATATTTTATTAAGAGTAAATATAAATTAATAGGCACTACTTCGAATGGCAACCCTAAGGGATGCAGTCTATCGTTTTTTTTACGGCGACCGTAAGGGACGCAATCTATTCTTTAAAGGCCGAAAAAGCCTTGTACGCTGATGACCTAGCAATATGGCAGAGTCATGAAAATGTGGAAAGTGGAGCCCAAAGACTGAACGGAGACCTTAGAAAACTGCATGAGTACTGCCAAAGATGGAAACTCAAGGTTAACTGTGCAAAGACGGTCTACACAATCTTTACCAAAAGCCACCAAGTAGCAAGAAAGAATATTAACCTGAGGTTAGACAAACACCAAGTGATGAAAGAAGAGCATCGCACATACCTTGGAGTCACACTTGACCGGCAGCTCAGCCTCAAGAACCATATTGAAAACATCAGGAATAAGGCATTGAGGCGGTTACAGTTATTAAAGAGACTTGCAGGTACATCATGGGGATCAGACAAGGAAACTCTGAGGGGCTTATATCTAGGATATGTTCACTCTGTGATAGAGTACAACAACTCACTGCTTACAACTTGCTCCAAAACTAACCCAGAGACTCTTGACAGAGTACAAAATAATGCCCTCCGATTAATCTGCGGAGCTATGCAGTCTACACCAACTGCTGCATGTGAAATCCATACAAATGTGGAACCCCTCAGGTTGCGGAGAGAAAAAGCCACTTTAGAAATTTATGAAAGATGCGTTAGAAAAAATCGTAACCATCCTAATAGACATCTTGTAGAAAACTGGGAATACAAACAAAGAATAAAGCACAAATCGGTTTTACACTGTGTTAATGAAATTCAGGACAGATACCACCTCCCAGAAAGACGTCAAGGAATTCAGAATGTTGCAAGAAACCTACCACCACATGCTCGCTTTAAAGCTCCAGAAGTCCGAATTAAATTGGTAGGCGAGGAAACCAAACAGTCCGACCCAATCGCTCTTATGAACTCATCACTAAAGACCGTTGATTCTTACCCCCAAGAATGGATACATGTCTATACTGATGTATCAGCTTTTAAAGCTACCATTAAAGCAGGTTACGGAATCTACATAGGTTATCCCGATGGATCTGTTGAAGAGATTTTTTGATGCATGCGGGGGAATTCTGTTCAAAACTATGAAGCTGAAATAATTGCACTGGAAACAGCAGTATACCACCTAAAGACTGTAATGGATGTTTACCCTTCAAAGGTCCAAAATATTGTCATCTTCACAGATTCAATGTCTTGCCCTTCAAGCTCTGGAGGGCAGTGAACACTGCAGAACTGACATAGCCAAGATAATCCTGGATGCTGATCAGCTTATTACCTCATACAACATCAGAATAGTGATGCAGTGGATTCCAGGTCACTCCGGCACACCAGGTAATGACAGAGCTGACAGATTGGCAAAGAAAGGAGCAACACAAGAACAACCACCTACAGCGACAACCCTCCAGACAGCAAAACACTTATAAGAGCTATAAACAAAGAGACTTGGGTTTGAACAGATGGGCCATGGGAGACACTGGAAGAGAGGTTTATAGACATATGTCTGGCCCTGATCCTAATGACAGCATTAACCATCTAACAAGAAGGGACCAGGCCACCATCTTCAGACTTAGAACGCAACATACTCCACTCAATGGACATCTAAACAGAATACAGCCACAACACTCCCCAGAGTGCCAGCTATGTAACTACCCCTAAGAAACTGTTGAACATCATCTCTTTGAGTGCCCAAAACTCAGTGAGACAAGAAGAACGCTACTCCCTCCGAGACCAGACAAGTGGAACACCTTGTACGGAGGAAAAGAACAGCTTGTGAAAACATGCAAATTCCACTACATGGCATTGGGCCAAAGGGCGAAAGCTCATGCGCCGCTGGATCGATAACAACAACATATATTTTGGTAAAGGGGAGTCGCCGTGGCAGAGCGGCTAGACGTGCGCCGCGGATCGGAAGGTCGTGGGTTCGCTCCCTGGCGGAGACGGACTTTTCTTCAAAAATGACCTTGGCTCCCAGGTCGACCCAGCCTTGAGTGGGTACCGGGTGCAATCCCGGGAAGTAGAGGCGGCCGGCGTGATGCTGACCACATCACCCATCTTGTGCCGTTGGTCTATAAAAATATAGGTCTAGCCCTATATGCCCTATATGCCTAAAGGCGTGGAAAGGGTCCTTTACTTTTTTTTTTTATATTTTGGTAAAAATAAGCTGATGATTTAAACTGATTATTATAACGTGCTGCACAAAGCTGGTACACGTAAATTAAATGGTGGTATCTCATTCAAATATGGAAACACAGCCATAAGATAGTTAAATAAAATATCAGATATAACTTCAATATTAAGAGTTACCAGGGCTAGTGCCCAGAGGCCCTTGCCTCAGGATGACACTATGTGGAGGTTTCTGCTGATTTGTTGTTGTTTTTTAAGCTGTCAGTGCAATTCTCTGATGTTATATTTTTTTTCAGATTTAAGTGAAAGTTTAGAAATCAGCCGGCAGTCAACATATAGCCGGGGCTTACAGGCAAGAGCCTGTATTTTGTCAGGATGACAACGGAGCATATTGTTAGAGGTGAGATTTGATCCCTGCAAGTCTTGAAGAAATTCCATCAACAGTTTAGAAAATACCTTTTGTCAAATATGACTATTTCCATATAGGTTCTGGGGGGGAACAAAGAATAGGCCTACTGCCCCCTAACAAGCATGTCTTAAGAGGCTACTAGTTAGGGTTGTTTCCTTCAGAGTCAGAGTTTCGTCTGCCTGAGAGGCAAGAAACAAACAGTCTGCATACAAATAGGCCATATCTGTGAAACCGAAAGTTTATGCAAAAGTCAAGTTGTGGATGACTGACTGACTTTCTACCCCACCAGGACATCACACAAGCGATAAACACCCTATGACACAATGTGCCACCATGTGGGTGAGGATCACAGTGGAGAGGTCCCAGAAACCGCGTTCAGTCTTTAAGCCATATTTATGGTCAGGCTATATTGTGGCCCCTGGCAAGAGCCAGAGTAGGGCTTCAAATAACGAAAAATTTCGTCCTTAAAAGGACTGGGAGTCAAAACTAAAGTCCAGAAGTGGACGAACAACCAGCATTTGCCAATGGAGCTCAGGAATGTGAAGAAGAAGATTCTGCCCTGCAACATCTTGAAGACACTCCATCAACACTTTAGAATAGACCTTGACAGAGAATACCAGTTATCTGCCCCTGTCTTCTCTTGAGGGACGACCAGTTGACATGCAGTTGCCCAGGACGGGTTCTTCAGAGGCAACACCTGTAGATAAAGGGACCAAAAAACCTACCACAAATAAGGCTATGTTATGTCCCATAAAACATTGATACCCGGTCAAAAAATGCTTGACGAAGTGGAATATGTCAGCAAAACGGTGTCATATAAACAGGCACAGCACAGTTATGTCATTCGGATGAATGAACAGAAGAAGAATAGACCTTTTGACTAATGCCATTGTGTGGATTCACTGGATTTAATGTTCGTTGTCTTCCATAAGTTCCACATGAGCCTCATGAAGTTGTTGATATTTGCAGATGTAACGGACATCTACATCAGATTGTTCAATCACCGCGCTGCACTGCAGGGGCTGACTAACAATTTTGTCAAGGAGTTTGAGGTGGGTGTGCACCTTGTACCAGTAGAAGCTTCTGTATGACTCTAACATTGTTCTCCTTCTTTCTCTTCTTCTTGTTCTTCTTTGCCATTAAAGGATCATCAACATCTTATGTTGTGGTTTACAGCTAGGTGGTGAAATATGTGCTTTTTGGCCCACAACATCCGATTTCAGCAAATCCTTTATAGTCATTTTTAATGATATGCTTGCTGAGGAGCAGTGCATCTATTTGCCCTAAGGATCTGTGTGAAAACATGGAGTTATTTGTTATAAAATACAGAGTTATAATATTCAGTCTTACACATCAGAAGGTGTCTTTTTTCTTTTGTTACTTATTTTTTTTTCTTCTGATGCTCTTTCTCTTCCTTTTCCTGCTGCTCTTCTTTTAATGATAAAAATACTGTCAGCTGACAGCATGAAAGCCTGAAAATGATCAGCTGACAGCATGAAAGCCTGAATATGATCAGCTGACAGCATGAAAGCCTGAATATGATCAGCTGACAGCATGAAAGCCTAAATATGATCAGCTGACAGCATGAAAGCCTGAATATGATCAGCTGACAGCATGAAAGTCTGAATATGATCAGCTGACAGCATGAAAGCCTAAATATGATCAGCTGACAGCATGAAAGCCTGAATATGATCAGCTGACAGCATGAAAGTCTTAATATGATCAGCTGAGACAGGAGTCATGGTACAGGCAGCAGAAGGGGATGATAGTCAGCATAGCTTTGCCATGTGATAAGAGAAATGCTGGAATACATTCTAGTGACGGATAAGGGGTGGACATTGGCCTGAGACAGAATGGATAGAGAGAGACTTTGTTGAAGAATTCTTCTTTTTGTTCACCAGCTGTAAACTCTGGCTGGAAGTTCTGGTTGCTTGTCCCTCTTTGATCATTGGCCTTGGTCCAGAACTTGAGTTTCGCATGCATATCTGTTTTACAGGTCTGCCTTATTTGTATCCAGACTGTTGGCTCCTTGCCTTTCAGGCAGATGCACCTGACTTTGAAGGAAAACCGGCTAATTATTCACCTCCAGTGACATGCTTGTTAGGGGAGACAATGCTTGTTAGGGGAGACAATGCTTGTTAAGGGAGACAGTGCTTGTTGGGGGAAACAATGCTTGTTAGGGAAGACAGTGCTTGTTAGGGGAGACAATGCTTGTTAGGGGAGACAATGCTTGTTAGGGGGAAGACAATGCTTGTTAGGGGAGACAATGCTTGTTAGGGGAGACAATGCTTGTTAGGGAGACAATGCTTGTTAGGGAAGACAGTGCTTGTTAGGGGAGACAATGCTTGTTAGGGGAGACAATGCTTGTTAGGGGAGACAATGGTTGTCAGTAGAGACAGTGCTTGTCAGGGGAGACAGTGCTTGTCAGGGAAGGCAATGGTTGTCAGTAGAGACAGTGCTTGTCAGGGGAGACAGTGCTTGTCAGGGGAGACAGTGCTTGTCAGGGAAGACAATGCTTGTTAGGGGAGACAATGGTTCTGTTCTTTGATCTTCAAAATGGAGCCTAGCAATACACACAGGGATGCACAAGAATAACTCTTCCATATTGAAACTTAAAACGTTCTCCTCCACGAGTGCAGCCTGAAAAACTGATACCCAGGGATAGCAGCACCAAGATACTTTTATGGTGACGTGATATTATTTTTTTTTTTTAATTTACATTTTATTATGTTTTTTAAAATAACACAGTGGCTTTATTACAAATTGGTTTGTAATGTATATTTTATTATTCATGGAAACTAAGTATTCTGTGGTTTAGGGGTGTTATGATGAAATTTATCCTGTCAAACAGCCGCAGCGGCTGTTGTGTTGAAATAACAATTAATGTAGCTGTTCGAACCACAATCTTATTGTAAACACAGGAGTCGAAAGTAAGACCACAGCTTACCCTAGCAAAATAGGGTGCTGAAGTCGGAGGCAACCAGCCAGGAGGCGCACCACAGCTTTCAGGATGCCAAGCATAAACGCAATAGGGAATATATTTGTCTCTGTCAAGGAAATATATCTATATTTGTCAAAAAGACAGTGAAGTTCATACTACAGGCAGTATTGCAGATATAGATAATTTATTTCAAGCGAATGAAAGAAGAACTGACAACCAGTGACTATTCCAATGCAGATCCAACATTAGTGAATCCCAGACATCCGGGTTCAACAATATAACAATTATATTTGGGCACCGGGTGGTTAGAAAGTGACCCACTTCCAGTATGGGTGGATAGAAAGTGACCCACTTCCAGTATGGGTGGTTAGAAAGTGACCCACTTCCAGTATGGGTGGATAGAAAGTGACCCACTTCCAGTATGGGTGGATAGTTGTGTGTGAGACTCCTTTATATTATCTGTGGTAGCTATACAGAGATAGCAGTATTCTCCCTTGGTGGAAGCCAAAGTTGCGGGACTTGATTCCATTCATGATATTGAACTGATTACATAGAATAGAACAGAATGGAGAAATGAGATTGTGAGCGTTATGTGACATATAATGGCAAAATAGGACAATGAAGGAATAAATGAAAAGTAAAAAGTAACGGACCCTTTTCCAGCCCCGTCAGGTATATAGGGCTAGACCTATATTTTATAGACCAAATAGCATTTGATGGATAATGTAGTCAGTGTCACGCTGGCCAGCTTTACTTCCCAGGACCGTACCTGGTACCCACTCAAGGCTGGGTCAACCTGGAAGTCAAGGTCATTTTTGAGAAAAGTCTAGTCCCCATTAGGACCTGAATCCACGACCTTCCGATCCGCAGGCGAGCATCTAGCCGTTAGACCACAGCCGTTCCCTGAATGAAAAGTATTCTCCCTAGTTGTCGCTATCATGCAATATTTGGTTTTAAAAATCCCAACACATTTGTGTTAGTGTTTTAAAAAAATAATAGTCGAGTCTGAATAAGTAGAAGTCGCAGGGACCTAAGAAAATGCTTCCACTTATCAGGATTTCTATTTATCCAGACAGCACAGACAATAGAGAAAATTGCCCGAACTAAGCTGGTCATGTCGACTTAACCAAAATGCGACTTATCCGAGTTTGACCTACGTGGACTTGAAAGTAATGAGTTGATTAAGAGAATCCAGTGTTTATGTGTTGTGTAGGAAAAGAGAGGAGATCGTGAGATGCCAGCACTGACCCAAACTTTTGAACTGGTCATAGAGAGCAGAGACAAAACCTGGCCATCTTTAACAGAACAGCTGGACTCTCACCTGGTACAACTGAAGGACTCAGGTGAGACTGACCCATCACTTGATGTATGGTTGTCTTCTCTTTCCATAGCTGTCTTTATCACCCTGAGGGTGGTGTAAGCAATGTGGTGTAGGTTGGGTGGTGTAGGCAGGGTGGTGTAAGCAATGTGGTGTAGACAGGGTGGTGTAAGCAATGTTGTGCAGACAGGGTGGTGTAGGCAGGATTATGTAAGCGATGTGGTGTAGGCAGGGTGGTTTTAAACCTGAGATTTTGGGTCACATGGCTGTCAAAGTCACACAAACTGCAGGTGATCATTTGTATTTTTCTCCCTGGCATTAACAAATCCTTAACTACTTCTTTTTGTTAAGTGATCACCAGCCATAAACTCCGGCAGAAAGTTCTGGCTGTTCGTCCACTTCTGGACTTTAATCTTGGTCCAGAATGTGTGTTTTGCCTGCAGTCATTTTACAGATCGGGCTTATTTGTCGCAAACAGTTGGTTCCTCGCCTCTGTGACTTCGAAAAAGACCCAGCACTTGATAGGGGTCTTTCTTCCTCTCTTAACAGCCTGTGTTTAGCACTGTTGAGGGCAGTGTCGCGCAGGGTGGCCTTGGACCTGAGATTTTTGGGGTCACATGGCTAGTCAAGCCACCGCAAATTGCAGATTACGTTTTTTACACCCCCCCCCCCCCCAATATAAAAAAAAACCACTTTACTCGAGTCTATTGCACAAGACTAGCATTCTACCTGCTTTGCCAGGTGCTTTTTTGTTGTTTTTCTTCGTAAAATTAAGTAATTTATGATTGTTGACATAAACTTTCTTGGGATGCTTGGTCTATAGAAGTTGATAATTTATTGTTGTTCACATACGCAGTTTAAAAATTGTTTTGTAGATGATATTGTTCTGCTCAGAGTGAAAATGATTCTATTCTCTTTTGTGGCGGTCAGTGATTTCTTACCCGAGTATCTCGTAGCGATGAAATTCTCAGATACCGCTTATTCTGAAATCAACTCTGCTTGTTTTCTCAGTGGATAAAGCCAAGAACCAGTGTCACCAGATTCTACAGGACGTAGAACAGAAGACGGTACGACTTTGTGTTGTCCAGTTTGTATATGTTACTGTTTACACATGTGTTTGAGAGAAGGGCCGAGTCCAGAAACTTAGACATTGAACAGGTAGCTAGAAAGTCTGAGACTGAAATGTTTCTGTACAGAAGAATAGGTCACAAATAGTGTTGAAAGAATTAACATAACAATATACCTGCATTCAAATACAGGAAAGACTCAAGGTACAAATTTAATCCATTCCCTGATTGAGCTCCTGTGCTGATGAAATCTTATCCTGACACTTCTTTTTCCCCCCTCATTAAAAATGAATGTAAATTTAAAACAAAATGAAATCTTTTCATTTTGTTCACATAGTAAATGTGTGGCATTGGTTTTTTTTAAATTTTTGCCAGCAATGGAAAACAAAGTTACTTCCCACCATAATGCTAGTCCTTCATCATCATCACCTTGTTGAATTACATAAGTCCTCCTTTGGCAGCATTCTTCTTTTTCTGTTGTCCTACTGCATACACTGTGAAGCGTCAGATTAAATATTTCTACCCCAAATTTCCCCCAGTATTTATATTTCTTCTACCGAAATTTCATCTGGCCCAGTTGACTTTTCTTTCTTCATGTTTTATAGCATCGCTCACTTTTTCCTTTTTCTAAATTTCTTTCTTCTGGTAATTCTGCTCTCTTTCTATCATACAACTCTTTTTGTTCATTCCATCTAGTTATTATATCATCTTCCTCCATTAATATCTCTCCTGCTTTTGATTTCAGACATTATGTGTTTACTCGTATCTTTCTTCCAGTTAGATCGTTAATTTGTTTGTGCAGACTTTTTGCATCCTTAACAGGACTGTGTTAAATTTTATTGCATTGCTAATTTAGCCACTCTTCTTTTGCCTTCATACATTTATGCCTTATTTCTTTATTTATCTTGTTATATTCTTCTTTGTCATCCATTAACTTTAAAATTTCTTCAGTCATCCATTTCTGTTTAGCTATTTGTCTTCTTTCTGGTAAAATCTCTTTGCTTGTTTGGTGGATGTTGACTTATGGGTATGTGTATTATACACACATGATATGTGTATTGTACACACATGGTATGTGTATTATACACACATGGTATGTGTATTGTACACACATGGTACGTGTATTATACACACATGGTATGTGTATTGTACACACATGGTACGTGTATTGTACACACATGGTATGTGTATTGTACACACATGGTACGTGTATTGTACACACATGGTATGTGTATTGTACACACATGGTACGTGTATTGTACACACATGGTATGTGTATTGTACACACATGGTATGTGTATTGTACACACATGGTACGTGTATTGTACACACATGGTACGTGTATTGTACACACATGGTACGTGTATTGTACACACATGGTACGTGTATTATGTATTGTACACACATGGTACGTGTATTATACACACATGGTACGTGTATTGTACACACATGGTACGTCTATTATACACACATGGTACGTGTATTGTACACACATGGTACGTGTATTATACACACATGGTACGTGTATTATACACACATGGTACGTGTATTGTACACACATGGTACGTGTATTGTACACACATGGTACGTGTATTGTACACACATGGTACGTGTATTGTACACACATGGTACGTGTATTGTACACACATGGTATGTGTATTGTACACACATGGTATGTGTATTGTACACACATGGTACATGTATTGTACACACATGGTACGTGTATTGTGCACACATGGTATGTGTATTTTACACACATGGTACGTGTATTGTACACACATGGTACGTGTATTGTACACACATGGTATGTGTATTTTACACACATGGTATGTGTATTGTACACACATGGTACATGTATTGTACACACATGGTACGTGTATTGTACACACATGGTACGTGTATTGTACACACATGGTACGTGTATTGTACACACATGGTACGTGTATTGTACACACATGGTACATGTATAGTAGACACATACAAGTTTGTGAACATTCAGTATTTGCTTCACATGTTTCACCAGGACTGGCTGGAGTCACAGAGAACTTCCAGAGAACAGAAGTGGGCAGAGTTCATGGCAGGCCAGGTCATTCGCAGCAGCAACGTTGATGAAGAGTTTAAAAACAAGGTAGACAGTCTGCACAAGCATTATGCCGAACTGGAGGAGAAACTCCGAGAAGGCACGACCTCAGTTCTGTAATCTGTCTCCAGTGTTCGCGTTCGTTGGGTTGTAGATGTTTTGTCAGATGTGTAGAGGCTGCTGTGTTAACACTTTGTAGTAACACAAGTGGATGCTGAGAATGTATGGTGACATTGCTGTGTTAAGTGTATGATTAGAGTATTATGTTAACAAAAATATGCTAAGACTGTTAACGTGCATGATGAGCCCTTTGTTAATGGCAATTTGTGTTAACAAGTGTATAGTGAGGTATTAATGAGTGTATGATGAAACTATTGTTCATTGTTAAAACAGTATGTGAAACTGTTGTGTTAGCATTATATGGTCTTAGTCTTTCTTACAATGTAGATGTGACTGTTACATTGTATAGTGATTCCAGGTGTGGGTTCTAGGCCCCCAAAATTAGGGTGGGGGCTATGCCTGCCCCCGGTAACAAGCATAGTTGTAACGGGTAACAAACTGTGATTTTCCTGAAACTGAATGTGTTGGACAGAAAAGTGCAGCTTAATTGTAAAAAAGACAGTGTGCCAACCTCCCTTTTCAGGACAAACACAGAGAAAGAAGCTATCGGGATATTTTTGTATTAACAGATGTATGATGACACCCCTGTATTTCATTGAACTCTAACTGAAGTAATGCTTGTAAAACAATTTCTATTACTGCAGTCTCTACAGTAATGCTTGTAAAACAATTCTATTACTGCAGTCTCCACAGTAATGCTTGTAAAACAATTCTATTACTGCAGTGAACATAAATTTATGTGTAGAGACCAGATGGAAATCAGCATAATTTATAATTGCACCAACTGGTAAAAGTTAGCTGCGTTGGCCACACCGCAGTGTGTTTACCGTCCTCTACAGCGTGGAAACATCAAAGAAGATTGGCTAATAAACAGCATTCTTTCTCAGAAGCTCAAATATTTAGGTCATATCAAGCGCCCTAACGGACTGGAAAAAATTATAGCAGAAGGCATGGTACCAGAAAGGAGGGGCAGGGGCCGACCGACACGAAGATGGGCACTGGATATAAGTGACACCTTGAGTGGGAGAACTGGCGAGACACCGAGTTTCTTTCAGGCAGACTGTGATGAGAGCGGCGTTCTGCAAAGCACCTGCTACATGATGATGATGGTATGAGTTAGAAACAAGATACACAAAAAGAGAAAGGGTAGACACCTCAACTGACACAACTAACTTAGTAGATCCTCGTTGCCAGTTCACACTGAATGGTTTTACTTGAGGAGTTGCTGTCCGAGCGGTTAAGAATACAGGGCTCTTATGCGGGAGATCCAGGTTCAAATCCCCGGTCAGGTCATGGATTTTTTGTTGTTGTTGTTGGGGGGGGGGGGGGGGGGGGGGGGGGATACAATCCAACATGCGGTCTGGGGGCGACAGCACTAGTCATGCAGCCCTAAATCCTCAGCCCCCCCCCCCCCCCCCATTGAAAAAGTTCAGTGAATACAAACGGTAGTTGACAGTGGGACTGTGTTCAAAATGTCATGCCTTCATCAATGTTTCTATAACTAATAAATTTGTATGTGCACAAAGAACTGTTTGTATTTTTTCCCCGTAACGTGGGCCAGACAGCATCTGACGTGGACTCTGACACACTGTCAGAGAATGAAGACAGTGCGGTGACAATCGTTCTACACATTGTCAGGAAATGAAGACAGTGCTGTGACAATCGTTCTACACACTGTCAGAGAATGAAGACAGTGCTGTGACAATCGTTCTACACACTGTCAGGAAATGAAGACAGTGCGGTGACAATCGTTCTACACATTGTCAGGAAATGAAGACAGTGCTGTGACAATCGTTCTACACATTGTCAGGAAATGAAGACAGTGCTGTGACAATCGTTCTACACACTGTCAGGAAATGAAGACAGTGCAGTGACAATCGTTCTACACATTGTCAGGAAATGAAGACAGTGCTGTGACAATCGTTCTACACATTGTCAGGAAATGAAGACAGTGCGGTGACAATCGTTCTACACACTGTCAGGGAATGAAGACAGTGCTGTGACAATTGTTCTACACATTGTCAGGGAATGAAGACAGTGCTGTGACAATCGTTCTACACACTGTCAGGGAATGAAGACAGTGCTGTGACAATTGTTCTTCGGCTCATCCCCTACCAAGCCACATACAATAATTGATAAATGGCTAAGCAGCTACAGTTGCAACTGTCTATGACTCACACCCCCTTCCATGTATGACTCACACACTTACCCTCAAGACTCAAATGCTATTATATGAATCGAACATCTTTCAATGGCCCAAACATAACAGTGTATGTTGTAAAGTAAAGGACTCTTCAAGCCTCTAAGTAAATGGGGTCAGGCCAGTCAGCAACAGCACTTGATGGCTGATGCAGTCAGCGTCAGGCTGGCAGACTTTACCTCCCAATACATTTCCCTAAACCCATTTCTAGATATGGCCCAAACTGAAATATTACCAATAAATTCATTTCACACGTTACTAGTATCTACGCAGAATAGGGGGAATTATTTGGTATGCCGGAAGCACTAATGTAGAGCTTTGGTAGAGAACTAAACAAATTCCGGTAATCAAGAGGTGAGTAAAAGATGCTGATGTTGCATAGGAGACACTAAAGAAAATTTGATTACATAGAATGTCTTTGTACTGGAACCCACATGGCCACAGAAGTAAAGGGAAAGAAAAACAATTCAAATCACTCAAAACAATTTCTGTGCTGTCTCCACAATGAACGCTGGCTAAAGTGAACGGCTGTTGTCTTTAGAAACACTGCATGGAGAGGTTTTAACCCTTTTCACATTACAACTCTTGTACTATTGTTTGAAAATTACAAGAACAATATTTTTTAAACCATCTGCCACGGGGAAGGAACTCTATTACTCAAAGTCGCTCAGAAACACAGCTATCTAACGTTTGCTTCTGCTACTATTTAAAAAAAAACATTTTACGTAACATTTCAGTAAGCATAAAATAAATCTTTATTTACACAAAATCTAGACAGACAAGTAACATCCTGTATATGTACAAACAATCCATGCCAACTCTGCAAAAGCTAATCTTTGACCTCCACGACCTGCTTTTTCCTCTCCGGTTGGAACGGCACAGCGCCAGGCTTGCTGTGGAACCGTCTGTTGCTCTCTCTGGAAACACGAACAGAAATATTTGCTGGTTATAAGTGACATAAAAAAATAGAAATGAATAAGATATTGTAACACTATGGACAATGTTTCCATTAAATGAATTTCACATCTGACCAGACAACACAGAGACTGCCAACAGAACTTACTTTCAGATCTGACCAGACAACACACAGACTGTCAAGAGAACTTACTTTCAGATCTGACCAGACAACACACAGACTGCCAACAGAACTTACTTTCCCATCTGACCAGACAACACACAAACTGCTAACAGAACTTACTTTCAGATCTGACCAGACAACACACAAACTGCCAACAGAACTTACTTTCAGATCTGACCAGACAACACACAGACTGTCAAGAGAACTTACTTTCAGATCTGACCAGACAACACACAGACTGTCAAGAGAACTTACTTTCAGATCTGACCAGACAACACACAGACTGTCAAGGGAACTTACTTTCAGATCTGACCAGACAACACACAGACTGTCAAGGGAACTTACTTTCAGATCTGACCAGACAACACACAGACTGCCAACGCCACTTACTTTCGTTTCTGAGACTCCTTGATATCCCGCATCTCCTGCTTGTGATGGTAGATCATCTTGGGCACGTGTCTGTGGCGGGAGATTCTCCTGATCTCTGGGTAATCCTTGAAAGTTTTCTTCAGCACTTCTGTGGTGTTGAAGGCTGTCTTCTCCCTGGGTTTCATCTGTTGAAAGAATCACCAGTTAAATATCAATGAAGTACAGCAGCTAAATCAAACCAACGTGCACCCTAGCTTCCCTATGAGCCAGCCACCCACAAAGTCATTAACAACACTAGACAAGACAGGGTTATGAATACTAGCATTGGAGAGAAAGTTGGAATAAGACCAAGTCTGGATTATATTGACAAAGAATGAAATGGTTTAGCCATCTAGTGAGGATGTAGCCAGACTAAACTGCATTCAAGCCGTTCTACAGAATAACATCTGGGAAAAAGGCGAGAGGAAGACCAAGAAAGAAATGGATATAAATGATGTAGCTAAAACCTGCAAAAAGCTGAACTAATCCATCACCCAAGCCTCATGAGAAGCACAAGACAAATACAGGAAACCACGACACTGGGTTACAACCTGGTATCAGTGGGATGAAGAAAGAAGGCCCATATTTAACAGTAGATATGGGAGGACAGACAAGTACATTCCCTGTGGGGGTTGTTCTAGGGCTCCATATGGGAGGACAGACAAGTACATTCCCTGTGGGGGCTGTTCTAGGGCTCCACATGGGAGGACAGACAAGTACATTCCCTGTGGGGGCTGTTCTAGGGCTCCATATGGAAGGACAGACAAGTACATTCCCTGTGGGGGCTGTTCTAGGGCTCCATATGGGAGGACAGACAAGTACATTCCCTGTGGGGGCTGTTCTAGGGCTCCATATGGGAGGACAGACAAGTACATTCCCTGTGGGGGCTGTTCTAGGGCTCCATATGGGAGGACAGACAAGTACATTCCCTGTGGGGGCTGTTCTAGGGCTCCATACGGGGAAGGGGGAAGGAAAAAGCATATCAAGCATGTCAGAATTGTAGAAATCAGGGTGGAAATAGGCAGATTTTAGTTTAGCCATAAACGACAACACAGGTAAACTTTCATAAGGGTAAACGCTTAAGAAGATTAGGCACATGTGCCTGCTTTCACACATACAGAGAAACTAGAAAAGAAAACTCACCACTCCAAGTTTTTCTGAAGCCTTTGCCTTCCACAAGCGAATGCTCATCTCATCCGAGCCAGACAGGATGTACTTGTTGTCCATCGACCACAGGACATGGTTGACTCGCTGCATGCGTTTTGTTGTGTAGATGTCCCTATGGTACACAGAATATGTCAGTGGTGTCAATATAATACGTGATTGTTGTACAAGAACTTTAGCAGTGTATACACCCCCATCTACTGGGAGACGACGTGGTGTAGCGGCTAGTCACTTGTCTGCTGTTTCAAAGATCAGGAGTTTAAATCTGAACAGAGCTGGACTTTTCTAAACTGTCGCTGGCTACCAGGTAGACTCAGCCTTAAAGAGGTACTGGGTAAAATCCTGGGAAGTAAAGGTGGCTACTGCATTTCTGACCACATCATTCACTGGTCAGTAAACTATAGGTCTAGTTGTTGCCTCGTATACTTGAAGGCGTGGAAAAGAGCCCTTTACATCCTTGTCTACACACAATAAGTCACATGTTAGGTTAGTTGTGTTTCCTTTACAGGACGTTGCAGAACCAACCCCAACAGCCCCTGGCTGTTGTGTGGTTTTTCTAGACAATTTACGTCCAGTAGTTTGCCATTGCTTTCTGGATGGTCGGCTTTCTTCATACCACTGTCGAAACCAACACAAGACGCATGGCCCGCAGCTGGGATCGAACTCGGCATCACGAAGCGTTCGCATCGACTTAGCCACAGAGCCGACAAGTCATATGTAACACTGTAAATTAGTAACCATGGAAATGATGCACCTCACAAAGATTGCAGGAGTGACCAGAAGAGATAAAATCAAGAATGAAGCCACAAAAGAAAATGCAGCATGGAAACAATTCTAAACTACACACAAAGACAGCAAATTAAATGGTTTGCCTACTTTAGAGAGAAGGCCTTGTGACAACAGACCATACAAAGTGTACAGCAAAAGAGGAGAAAAACGCGGAGCACAAGGTGGACCAAGAACAAGATGTAAAGATAACGTGAGAGAAACTACATGAATACAATCTGTGTATAGTCAAGGCAGCCAGAAAACCCAGAGTTAGAACCTTATATCTTACCTAATATCCAAAGCAGTAAAAGATTAATTGAAGAAACTCTTTAATTGTGTTTATCTCTGTGTCATACACCTAATATGTGAGGTTTATCAATATAATATACAAGGTTTCTCAATATAATATGCAAGGTGCATCAATATAATACATGAGTTGTATCAATATAATACACAACTGTTAACTCTTTGAGTCCCAGGTAGTTTAGCATCACAGGCTCAGGAGGTAGTAAAGAACGTAATCAAATTGGCGCATCATGCGTTCATTGGGCTTCTGGGTAGGAACCTATGGACGTATGATGCGTTCCTTGGGACTCAAAGAGTTAAGTTTTATTTTAGATTTTCATTCACCTTTGGATGCCCACGTTATGGATCTAATCCTTATCCGGAAAGCAAAGTTCCTCATTTTCTGAGTCGACCGCTCTGAAGCTTCTTTTGATATTCTGTCTATAGATATCTGTATATAGTAAATAAGAGAGAAGACAACACACATCCCTGCCTCACACGTATTGATTGTAAACGTATCAGATATGCCTTCCTGTGTTCTCACTGCGATTTATACGTGTGGTAAATGGCCATGATGTTATTTAGCAACTGTGCTTGTATCCCATAATCCTCAAGAATAGTCCATAGATTGTTTCTATAAAAAAAAGTCTTTTATTAATTTCTCATCCTCATTTCAAAGTTTTTCTCGCAAACTTGTCTTCATGTAAATAACGCATCTTTGCATCTTTTCGTTTCCTGAAACCAAATATGACACTGTAATGAAAGAATATTGACTGATCTATAAGTTCAAAGGTCACAGAACCTACCGACTGTGTCCCTCCACGGCATTAAATATGCGGACACACTTGTCGTAGCCGGCTGTGACAAACTCCTTTCCTGTGGGGGCATAGTCGACATCCATCACTGGGGAAACAGAAACAAGTTATCACTGACTTCAAAGTCACTATCGCACTAGCAGTATAAGCAGTTCTTGGAGAGGGGTTACATATCACACTAGCAGTATAAGCAGTTCTTGGAGAGGGGTTAGACTCATCAGAGAAATGGCTCCCTACTGCAGGCCTGGCCAAACACAGATCAGACTGGCATTTCTTTCAAGGTGCAACTGTCTGCACTCAAAAAAAAAAAAAAAAAAAGCTAGATGTACAAAATGAGCTTGCTACATAACGATGACCATTAAATTTAAACAGCTCACACAAGAACAAGAGTTAATAAAGTGAAAAAAAAAAAAAAACTATTCAGAACTCAATAGTGAAGATTACTGATATCACTATGATGTGCCCTGCCCTGCAGCATAACCTCTCATGTCTCTCCACAGATCTTGGTCTTTGGTATTCTAAATCAATTCTACTGATGATATTCCCCCATGCTAACCCTTCAGGCTGTCAAGCTTCCTCTTTCCCCCTCTGCTTCCACTGATTTTCCCAGTCATCACGTGTTTTAACAGGCAGGAATTGCTGTTCGAGGTAGGGTAACAGACCGCAAACCCCCTGATGCGGAAATCAAGAGGAAACCACCAAATTATCTTCCTAAGATCTCATGAAATAAAATGACTCATTTCATCCATTTCATTGGCACCTTTCAGTCTTTCCAGATGAAAGTGTTTTATTGCGCTATGAGGAGGCATGAGACTCACGGCCCATAGCGATGGCGAATGTGACTAGCAAGACCTGCCATTAATGTTTCCCAGGTCAGTGGAAAACCCTGGACACACGGACCTCATGTTCCAAGAGCCAAGTCGAAGCTTGGGGTTATGTTTCTTTTTATTGCCTGGTGCACTTATTTTACAGCCTGCAGTTCGGATTTTCTCCTAGCTCCAAGCTTCCATTGAAGCATGCAAGCTGTGGCGGATCAACACCTTATTGGCTGGGGGCTGCCCAGCTTGAGGCAGGCGGTAGTTGATCAGTGACATTAGAAGATGTCTCCCACCCTCAGAGGCAACCAGTGACGCCCCTGTCTACGCCAGCTGACAAGGACTTATAACCCGTAACTGCTGCCTCTTGATTTGTTTCCGAGACCGATTAAGGCCAGGGATGTAGTTCCTCCTCTCCATAGCACAAAACCTGGGCAGTATTGTAGAGACCATATTTAACCCATGCATAATGATCGCTTCCTCGACCTGCCTTGTTTACTCCAAAGGAAAGGTAAAACCAGTACGCTTGGAACGAGGCAGGTTGCAGAAGCTGCCGGATCAGAAGAGCAGTGCTCTATCTGTCCGCCTGTCAGAGCTTCCCTCCTAGACCAGCTGCCAGCCAAGGAGAAGGGCCTGGTCTGTCCTGCCATAACACAAAGTTTTCAGGTTGCATTTCCTCTTCCTAGGATAAGGCTAGTAACCTCCCCAATGCGCTCCTCCAACCGAAGCCATTGGCACAATATGGGATGTTGGGTTAGTATGCGCCGCCCAACATTCGGGATAATAGAAGACAAGTGGTAACGGCTACTGTTATACGGTAGCTCAGTCATATCTGACCAAGACCTGACTCATATACACCCCTTAACAAATATAAAGTGTTTTGGTCAGGAGAAACATGAAGGCCAGGAGAAGAAACCCATGGAGGGAGGTGTTCAGGGGAAGTGGAAGAGCACACTGTGGATAGACTGAAGATGTAACAGATGATTTATACCACACAGGAAGCCACTGTAGTGTAGCGGCTAGACGCTAACCTGTGAATACGAAGGTTGTGGGTCACAATATGAACGGAGCCTGAATATTTCCTAGAAATCACCTTGGCCCAAAACTTGATGCAACTTTAAGCGGGTACCAGGTAAATTAGTGGGAAGTAAAGGCAGCTAACATTATGGTAATACACAAGACTCACAGAGTGCTACATTGGGAAACAATAAAGGTCTAGCCCTATATGAGCAACACCAACGAAGACGTGGAGAAGGATCAATTAACACCAGGAAGCAACTAAGGCTGGAGATCTGGATTATCAGCAAGGATTACGACAAAGACACACTTCAAGACAGTGACGATAAAGGAAGGTAGAGAGGTTGTCAAAAACTAATATATTCTATAAACGACATAAACAGCATATGTGAGCCAACCCTAAGAGGTGAGCCAAAGCTAACAGGTGAGGGAACCCTAACAGGTGAGCTAACAAAATACCTGCAGCAATGTGGTCCTCATGCTTGTTCGTGGCCATCCTCAGGTTTCTCACATCATACGTGTATAGACTGCAGAGTTCATGGGGAGAAGAGTGAGTCAGATATATAACCATCAAAGTTTAACAACAGCAACATTGATATCATTCATAGTTAACATTACAGGTCATAGGTCAGCATAAGATCAAGTTTACAATTGGAGCTGTAATGTGTCATAATTTGAGGGAGCCTCACATGATTTTTTAAAACAGATAGCAGAATGATGCTTTTCTTCAGTGCGTGTCACACATGGGGTAGCCATATTTGAACTGTCATTATGAAGCCATGGTGTTTGTCTGCACTGTGATGTTACATGCTTTCCACTTTTAATATCCTTAACTACAATACAGATAGCAATGATGTGGCTAGAGGCACAGCATTTTTCCTATGTGTCTTTTTAAAGTGATTCCTTAGCATGCTTAAGTAGACAGAGACAGGGTGGATTTCAAATAAAACGGTTGGAGTCCCTAAGTGCCAGGACATTCTGGTGCGAGGGGGAATGAATGAGCAGATTGGCTTGCTGGCAGGGCCATTGTAGGTATAAGAAAAGCAAGGAACAGGCCAACTTTTTCAGTGTTCTCAAGAAAGCAGCAGGACGAGAAGATGATTCAGGAGACGACGTTGAATCGGCACTTAAAAGACTACGAGAACTTTAGGTCAAAAGAGATGTCACCAAATATTGACACTATACAGATAGCCAAAAAAGAACAGTAAACCAACATAGAACTAGCATTATCAGTTGCGACACGCTGGGGGATATACTGAAGATGGTATCAGAGTGCTTATGGATTTGTTCTATGGGAAAAAATGAGGATAATCTGTCAATTAACTAACTTAACCGACAGGTTACAAAACAACACCATGGTTATAGTCATTTATATCACACTTTTCAGGTTTCATTTGAAACGCCCTCAGCCTCCCCCCCCCCCTCTTCAGAAAGTCAACAGGGCTGACTAAACTTTTGTGAAATTGGCACCCGAATAATTCTCTGAATTTTCTGGAAGTTATCTCAAAAGGAAATGTGAAAAGGACAAAAACATTCAACAGCTGCATTTAGAAACCTATTATCAGAAAAGCAAGGGCAGACAGCCCCCCCCCCCCCAAATTTTGTTGCGTATTCTTTACAGAACGCTGCAGAACCAACCCTAGCATTTTGTGCCGTTGTGGTTTTTCTGGGCAAATTTACATTCAGTAGTTTGCCACTGCTCTGAACAGTCAGCTCTAGGCACAAGTGTCAAAACCAATGCAAGATGGATAGCTGCCAAACAGTCTGCAGCTGGCATTGAACTCAGCACACCGGTATTATGAAGCGCGTTTGCAACACCTAAGCTAAAGACACTTACACTTTTTATGGCTTGTAAACCAATTATAGCATGACCCCGTAACCACCAGTCGACTGAGGAGTGGCAGAGATTTCCATACAGAAAGCTCCCTTTTTTTTTTAAATTTACAATAAACCCCGCTTAAATGTTTATAATAAATTTAGTCAAAGTCGAGAGGATTGACTTCACTGCATAGGGTTTTATCCCATATTATTTTGTGCCACATTGAACATTTTGGCAGACACAGATTTAGTGAGTTCTGTTAATTAGATGCCTTGTAAACTTGTCTCTAGTGAGCCGTGAAAGTGGCAATTAAGGGCATATGGTACTAACCAGAAGTGTCTGCTTTATGGCTTCTTGGGGTGAAAACGGTTCAAGAAAATAAGACAAATGGGTGGTACAAGATCACTGAAAAAAATCATAGAAGAGTGCCTTTAATAAGTCAAACATGGCCATAAATCTGGACAGGGTCACTTACTTGTAATCATCACACGCAGCCGTGAACACAAAAGCCTGCATGGGGTTCCAGCTGATGGCATTAGTCTTCATTTTCATTATGAGCTGAGGAGACGAGAGGAATGGCAAGTCAAACCATCTATATAATTTACATACAACACACAGAGCTGAGGGGATCAGAGGAATGGCAAGTCAAACCATTTATATAATTTACATACAACACACAGAGCTGAGGGGATCAGAGGAACGGCAAGTCAAACCATTTATATAATTTACATACAACACACAGAGCTGAGGGGATCAGAGGAACGGCAAGTCAAACCATTTATATAATTTACATACAACACACAGAGCTGAGGGGATCAGAGGAACGGCAAGTCAAACCATTTATATAATTTACATACAACACACAGAGCTGAGGGGATCAGAGGAATGGCAAGTCAAACCATTTATATAATTTACATACAACATACAGAGTGAACACAGTAATGACATGCAAAGAAAAAAACAGGTTACTGAGCAAATACATCAAAAGTTGATCTACAAATCAGTCATGAAAATACAATAATTATGACACCAAAAACACATCAAGCACATGTAATGATAGAAGCAAAAATAATTAAAATAACAGATCAGTTTAAATACTTAAGGTAGCAATTGTGATTTGCCATTGAAACAAAAAAGAGGTTATGCAAGACAACAGCAGCTTTTAAAACCCAAACACAATATGGAACTTTTAACTTACATAGTTTTTTTTTTTTAAAGAGAAAGATTTGGACAAGCACAAGTATCAACAGTTAAAAGTGAAAGAAGAGGGTACTATATTTATTGTGCAGATGTTGAGAAAAAATTGACAAAGAATCGTTAAACAGGACCTAAATAGGAAACAAATAGTACACGCACAAGAAGAACAGAACATTTTGGTCGGACCTTTTTCTACACGAAAAAAAAGACACTCCCTGTTAATCATGAAAGCTATCTGGGCACTGGCTTCGAGAGAGTTGACAATGAAGCGCTCAACACACGGGGAGAGAATATTACCTATCTAGACATAATCCCAACCAGGCCCTATGTGCTGTAATGTATCAAAAACCTGGTAACACACACTATATCTTCCGCAGATTTAACATTCCACAAGCGACTTGGACCAGTCTGGATCTTTAGAACTCTACAAAATGGTTGCTGTAAAGAAAGTACTTAGGCAATATATAGTCTCCACAGCAACTCGACTCCAACAGACAAAGCTGGTTTCAGAAGTGATACAACATAAAAGCCAATGCATTGATTACACTAACTCAGCCTTCAGGAGGATCTGGAAAAAACCAGCAGTGTATTTCATAAGCGTTAAGTTACAGAGGTAAAGATTCACACAGCTTGTGACTACTGCAGACATGAGACAGCAGATGTCCTGGTTAATGTTTACTGTCTATTTAACCTGAGAAAGTACACCAAGATCTGAACAAGCAGTGCTCTAGTGAGTTGTATAACAGAATATTTGTTAATATATTCCATTTTCACTTTATCCTGGATGGTTTTTTTTTTCAAACTAAAGTGGATGATTTTCAAACTAAAGTAGATGATTTTCAAACTAAAGTGGATGATTTTCAAACTAAAGTGGATGATTTTCAAACACCCTAGAACATTTTGTTTAGACTAAACTGGATGATTTTAAAAAAACCATCTTAGTTGGTTTGAAAAGTGTCCAGTTTAATGTAAAAACTGTATAATATCCTAGCAATGGTAGCAGATGAGACACAATGAGAAAAAAACCAACCTTTTGCACTGCTGAGGAACCACGAGTATCATACAACATGATACTTCTATCGTCTGCTGCCGCTGCCACAAGATGTGTCTGGGAGAAAAAAGCAGTTTATTGCATTTGGTTGTGTCACCTGAAGTTTCAACAGATATCAGTGAACACATGAGAGTACTGGATGCCCTTCTAGGCAGAGGAACTTGACTCAGAAGTTACAATTTATAAAGAATTCTTCTTCTTTTTCGTTCGCTTGAAAGAAATTATCTATATCTGCAAGGCTGTCTCTAGTATGAACTTTATTGTCTGTTGTAATTCATTTAGCATGTCTGTAAATTTAGGCTTCCACCAGTGTCTTTCTTGTCCAGAAGTTTTGCCTGGAAATGTTGTATTTAGGACAGTCTTGGAGGAAATGATCTGTTGTCTCAGGTGCCAGTCCACATGGCTGATTTGCCAATTTTAAATTGTGTACATGTGGCTACAAAATCCACCGTGTCCTGTTTTAAGACATAATAATAACTTGCTCTGGTATGTCCATTATTCATATGATAATCATCTTGTGTCAGTTTTGGTGGCTTTCTAAATGATGTGATTATTCTCATCTTCTTCTGTTAAGAGACTTATGTCAGGTTGTTCTTCACTTGCACATCCCTTAGCTGGTTTATCAGCTCTTTTATTTCCAGGAACTCCACAGTGGGATGTTATCCACTGCATAGCTACCTTACATTGGTTGTCTAATTGAGAGAGTGGTGTCTGTAAGAAATAATGAGATAAAAATTACAGCTGGAAAGGAGACAAGAAATGGATCAAATATGTATCTTGGACTTTTTAGTCATGAAACACGTGTCAGCTGCTTAGTAATGATTGTGTTGGAAAAAAAAAACTTCTTGTAAAAGAGCACAAGGCAGGGGTGGGGTCTTTCTCATAGACTAACCTCCCCCCCGTTCATTAGCTGTAAACTTGGGTGGAATTTCCAACTGTTCATCCACTTCTAAACTTTGGTCTTATTTGCTACACAACGATCCTTTGCAAAGAATTAAGACATGCTTCATTAGACCTGTACTCAAATTTGGCTACGACCACCCTACTGCGGGGTGCTGTCTGGGCAGGCATACATAGCATAGATTTAATGAGAATATAGTAATTCAGTTCAAACATGTCTGGCATCACCACGGAGACAGCCGCTGTCAAAAGAATGTGTTGACAGCATCCAAAGTTGCAATTCAAGAAATTTTCTTGATTGTACCTACGTCGGGGCGAAAGGAAATAAAAGAGCCGGTAAGATGGCCATGTTTCTAGTGGTTAGTGGAGGAAGAAGTATGGACTTGGCAGACATACCGAATGCATTCGCTTCAGTCCAAGATGATGAACCGTCTGTTGGAAATAGATATTAAATGAGGACAAGCTCACAGAAAGCAGCTGCAGTGCAAACAAAGAAGATATGCCAATTAATCCTACTGAGTACGGTGAGCATGGAGACATTGAGATGGCTGCGTTATCACAGGATGAAGCACGAATGAGTCGACCGATGTGCTAGGATGTAGATTACAAACCACAGACAACATGCCTTACCTCTATCCTATTGAACCTAACATAGTGCATGCTGTCCAGTCCCCATTTGTATGACTGCAGTGGCTGTGACCGATCTCCTATCCAGACGTCCAGTGACTGACCGCAGGTGACGAAGATGTCCTCCTTCTCATGGTGGTCAACGCACTGATATACTTGCTGTCAGTTGGAGGGGGGGAGGGGAGGGAAACAACACAATAAGTTAGGCTGGGACAGGACGCTGAGACATTCACACTGCTCAACTTGTACTGTAGGAGCTTGCAGTAAGGTTGGCAGATTGCTATATATATATAGCAAACATGGTGTACCAGTGACATTAACTCACAAATATGATTAAACTGGCACTGACAGCTACTGATGGACAATTTAGTTAGATGACGGATCATACTCACTGCACATCGAACCATTCAGTCCATAAGTGTTCAAATCCCCTCCCCAGTAAATCCTGCAGCATATTGTGGCTGACGACACCAGTTGTGTGTCAGTTCACTCTTCCTCTTTGGCCTCCCACACAGTGCTCTTGTCTGGCCATGCCACTTTTAACTTGCTTTTCTTGCTGTCTGATCAAGCTCTCATTTGGTTCTCGCAAATCTCTTAAATCTTTTCTCCTATTTCTAGCATTCTCCAGAAGAATAACAAATCACATTCTGAGGTCAAGTCAAATAATTCACATGAGTTTATCCATACTAGTCTGAGGTAGGAAGATAAACTCTTTTAAATACCTTTACTGCACATTTTCAAAGACATGCCACGACAGGTTACCACACCTTGAGTGGTGCCCAGAGACCAGTGCATCGTTTTCTCCAGGTTTGGGTTCTCAATAACTTTAATTTTACTTGATACAGTTACCTCATCCCATAGATCACCTCTACCTTGCCATCCACCCCCCTTTCCCCCTGGGATCAGTCCAGCCAAATGAACCAGCTCATTCGCAAACATGCCAACATAGCTAGGACAAAATATCGATGTGGGTCTTAATACCGACAACCTCCGAGTTGATCCATCAGAAGAAAACCTTGAGATGTGAAACACTATTTCACTAGACTACTGAGTAATTATGTGAAAGCTTCAGAGATGTGGCTAGACAGAAGAACGATATAACAATAACAACACTAGTTTGTGCACTTTTAACGCATTACAACCTGTGATACAAGTACAAAACCAGATTTCTTACCTATGTTCAGATCAACTGTAAAAGATATAACAACACAAAGTGACTTGTCTGACACATTCAGCCAACTGCTAAATAAATACACATTATGTATTTACTAGAACATTACACATCAATACAATAAAAATACCTTAGTAAGTAATGTTTTCAAGGGGTCTGGAGATATCTGGCCTTCTTCTGAACATCCCCAAAACTTGATGTTTGCATCCTGGCCACACTGGGAATAGAATCATAAATGCACAATGAACAGTTTTTCATGGTGACGGTGAGATGTCATTTCTGGTGAGCAGGGTAAACAAATACATACAGGGACTGAGTGTTATACGCTGGGTACTAAGCTAAGAGCTGGCATTTACAGCACTCAGGATATTTTCATAAGTGCTCTATCCTCATCTTCAGCAGCCAGCAAAAGTGTTCTGATTCCACTGGTGACAGTAGCAGTTTGATTACCTGTCCGTCATGCCTCTCCTCTGAGTAAGGAGTGTTGGCCACTATTACATGTGAGTATTTAAAGATACCGCTTCGACTCCTTGTGGTGCACTGGATATCTGGTGGCAACTAGTATTTTCTCATCACAAAAACGCAGGAATCAAGCAAAGAGAAGACATTGTTACAAAAATCAATAGACGGATCAAAGGAAATCTAAATGAAAGCACTGTAAAAATGGTAACAGGGGAGAGCTAGAGATCCATCCAGTAAAACAATAACATGGAGCTAGCACTTGATGATGATGATCTGAACTGTTTCTAAAATTAGCATCCTGCAGAAGTTTCCCCATGTGGGTTCCAGGGTTCCATTTTATAGTTGTTTTTTTCTATCAAACCCAAACCAACGGCCCCTAGCAAGCATGCCATAGAAAGTGACTAACTAGCGACGTCCTCTTCAAAATCAGACTGCATCTGCCTGACAGACAGTGTGTGTGTGTATGTATGTATGTATGTATGTATGTATGTATGTATGTATGTGTGTATGCAAGTGAGCAGCGGGACATGTGTATGCATTTTACCACACACGCTTTTACGTTTTTTCCTTAATAATCATATTGTTGTATGAACACAACATGTTGTCTTGATAAAATACAACTGTTGTGTGAAAGACAGGTGTCCGGAGGGGCGGAATGTAAGATGGGCCTGCGTGCCCAATTTGTGACACTCTGAAAATAAAGTTTGTTCATTCATTGAGTGATACTCCACTTCTCCCAGACCTTCCAAAGAAGGTGAGGGCAGCATCAGAGAAGAACAAGTGACCGGCTGTTGTACTCACCGAGATAAAGTACTGGCCGGTCCGATGTGAGCACAGACCGTGGACCAGGCCATGGTGGGCCACAACTGAACTGACACACTTTTTGGTGGACAGGTCCCATAACCGAATCTGAAACAAAGTATTGTAAATTAATTAGTCACAAATCTATTCTTTAAAAATGACCTCGGCTCCCACGTGGACCCAGCCTTGAGTGGGTATCAGGTAAAGTCCTAGGAAGTAAAGGTGGCCGGCGTGATGTTGACCACATTACCCACCAAGTGCTGATTGGTCTCCAAAATATAGGTCTAGCTCTTTATACCCAATATGCCCGAAGGTGTGGAGAAGGGTCCTCTACTTGTCCTCTTTGGTCACTTTAGGAGAGTGGCTCCAAACTAGGGCTCCAAGCAGCCCTAAGAGCTCCATGTGCACTTACCGGCGGCTCTGACTGCGCAGCAGGAAACTACACAAAAACTTAATGAAATTAAAGATTACGAAAGAGAAAAAAAAAACCTATGGACTCTGCCAAAGAAATTTAATTCTATAAAGAACAGAGCCACAATAGATGGGAAACACTCTAGGATCATTATAGTGCGTATTTCTAGTTATACAATTCATTAAGGGCTACAAATAAGATGGTTTGATCACCTACGAGATTACCCTGATACCAGCTGCCACAATGAAGAAATATCATGAGCATTGAGCAATAGAAGATCATGAAAAATATGCATCAGAAAGACCGTCTGAACAAAATCCTTACATCTCCCCACAACAATTTATTAAACAAATGGAGGAAGAGATCTTTCAAGCCATCTGTCTATTACCAAGACAGGGCTAACTTGACACTCGATGACACGGCTTCAAAGACTCGATGACACGGCTTCAAAGACTCGATGACACAGCTTCAATGACTCGATGACACGGCTTCAATGACTCGATGACACGGCTTCAATGACTCTCTAGAAGAAAAGTAACAATTTAACACTCCAAATTCTTCCCCTGGGTATCAAGTGAGTCCTTAGTAAATGCAACAACTAAAAATCTGAGGAGCAAACATGAGCAGGCAAAAACCTAATCTCGGCCAGCTTGTATGTGCTGAATCATGGCCTAACTATATCCTAAAATCCCTCCCAGTTAATATCCATGAAGTTTCGGTATCAACTTAAACCACCCTGCTGGCCTTATGTCTAGAGAAGAAAGACAGAGCTATGCAGCTTGATCATTGTGTTACTTGGTATCAGTGTGGACAGGAAGCAGCACTCTCATTCTAACAGATGCAAGCACTTTTTAGGGATTAGATTAGGTGAATGAAACAGCCGATGAAACTATACTCCATAATTTCCGGCAAAGTGCATGCCTCCACTCTAGACAATGGTCCTGTTAGTGAAAACTTTAAGCCTATCAGCTGAGAGAGCTGTATCTGTCCCTTCAGGCTGCGACAAAGTCCTGTAAATGCAGATGTATGGCCATGTCTGCAGTGAACTGTTCTTGAAAAGTTTAGTTAAATTCCACTGGTCCTATGTGAAGGGGGCATTAGAAGTGGATTCAGCATGGGGGGAAACTGGGGGGGGGGAAAGGGGGGGTATGAGAGGAAGAGAACTACGTGAGCTTAGTTCTAATTGCTATGACAACAGCTGACATCTACAACTTAAGACATTTGCTGTCAGAGACTGAGCAACTAGCATGTTGATTCTTAAAGCAGTTAACAAATGTCTATGAAAAGCCTGGCATAAGATGGCTGAAAATTAATGCCATATTGAGAGATGAGAGACCAACAACAACAAAAAAGATACATGTCCTTTAGCTCCCCCCCCCCCCCCCCCCAATCAGTCTTACCTCTCCATCAGAAGCAGCAGACAGGATGTGTGCGAGCCGAGTGGGGAACTTTGCCAACACCTCAATGCTGTCTTTGTGCCCTTCAAGGCCACAAAGAAATGGCTTGGCAAAGACTCGCTCCAGCTTGGTGGCATTCAAGGCTCTCTGGTACTCTCTGTCCAAGGCAAACGGGTGGAGGTAGGCTTCTGGATTTTGTGGGGCTGCAAGAACACTCAAAACATTTAAATTTAAAGTGGCTGATCTGTCTATTACTAAGAAGAACAAAAAATGCAGATATTCTACAAGATCTAAGCATAAAGGAGAACTGGGTCATAAACAGCACCCTGTCCCAAAATCTGAATTATTTGGCCACGTTAAACGGCAGGAGAACAATGATTTAAGGTACAGTCTAGACCACAAGGCAGACCGAGAAGGTGGATACAAGACACTGAAGATGCACTGGCCATGAAAGCACATAGGGCTGGGGTATTGACTAGAGGGAGAGACTTCAAGACATGCTGTAACGAGAGTGGTGTTTTATAAAGGAGCTGTCCGTTGGCGATGATCTCCCTGTATAAACTAACTGGCACTGGTTGTCACCAGGACTTTGTGGGCATTCACACAAAAAAAGCAGGTTAGTTGACATACTGGAGCCACTGCTGCTTCTGGTAATCAATCAAGTGCCTTCTTCAAAACAAATGTTGACTAGACTGGATCTTCTACTTTTTCTCTCTCCTTGGTAAGACATTTGTTCACATCATATTATCTCCCCCTTGTATCAATGATTACCTCTTGCACACTAGCCATCAATTTTTCCCTCCAGTGTTGTACAAAATAAAAGTGCCACACCTTTTCTTCTAAATGTTTCTATTTATCCCCCATTGAAGCAAGCTCCTCATACGTTCCACACCAAACCACCCTTTCTGTTGCTACAGTACATGGCTTCTGCATCCTCCCCATCTTATTTTAGATGTCATTTGATAATTCCCTTCTCCATGCATGTTGTGGCCTACCTTTATATCGCTTTGGCACCGTGGATTCCTCTGCAAAAACATTTCAGTTGAGTTATGTCATTTTCTGCATGATTATCTCAGGCATCTTTTATATGCCCTATCCAAAGCCAGCATTTTTTTCCTAGGTTTCAACAACTTCACAGAGCTACAGTTGTACAGTACTGACTTTTTTTTTAGCCATCTCTTAACGTGGCTGGAAATCTTCTTAAATCTTTTACGTAACTTTCGTTTTTCTGAAAATGAAATATTTCTGGTAAAATTGAAATTCTCTACCCCAAGTGAGTTACGGGACCCTATTGACGCCCGTAGGAAAAACAAGAAGAGACCCACTGGCTATTAAAAACGTGTCATAAGGAAGAGTCCACTAATCGGAAGTTCCCTTCAAAGTCAGAGTGCATTTGCCTGAGAGGCAAGGAATTAATAGTCTACATAGTAATAAGTCAAGATCTGTAAAACGGATGCGCAAACTGCATGCAGTTGCAACAGTCAGGGTCTGGAAAAGGGATATCCTCCGAATAACGGTCCTAAATTATAGAGGCGGAAAATATACCCTAACAGGGCCTTAGTCACCTGCCAATTGCGCACTTCGGGGGACTATAAAGCCACCGCCGAATTGTGAACTTCCTGGGACTATACCGCCATCGCTGAGAATATCTCCCGCTGTGTTCACGCGGCGTGTTTTGGGGCTAAATTATATGGCTGGGACTCACGAGCAGCAGCTACAGCATCTCCTGCAGCGTCCTTTATTTTTTTTGCTCGTGAGCCTTAGCCATCTAGTTTAGCCCCAATCCATGCCGCGTGAGCGCCGTGGGGGATACTCTCGGCGGTATAGTCCCAGGAAGTTCACAATTCGGCGGTGGCGTTATAGTCCCTGGAAGTGCGTAATTGGCAGGTGACTGAGGCCCTGTTAGGGTATATTTTTCACCTTGATAATTTAGGACCATTATTCGGAGGATAGCCTGGAAAAGGACCAGTCCCTACTAGAGTCCAGAAGTGGGCAAACAACCAGAACTTTCCAACGAAGTCTACAGCCGTTGTTGAATGCAAAGAAGAAAGCAATTCTCTTTTTATTTAATTTTCAACGATACAGCCTTTTATGTCCAGAACTGAAACTAAGTGAAGTATTTTAAATTTGTATTTAATTGATGGTTGTTTAATCATGTTAATGGGTAATTTTTTTTGGCTATCCTCTGAACTTCGGGCACTAAAGATGGCGGTCGCAAAATATCTTTTCAAGCCACAGTCACGTGACTTTATTTGCGGTTCTCCTGAGACTACCACCACCGCCACGAGTCCCTCACGGCTGTTCAGACGGCGTGGATTGGGGCTAAACTAGATGGCTAGGACTCAGAAGCAAAGCTTCAGGAGACGCGAAAGGTGCTGCTCGTGGGAATCTCGTGGAGGTAGTCACCGAAAAACCGGTGGAGAACAGCAAATTAAGTCGCCGGAAGTGCGCAATTGACACGTGACTGTGGTTCAAAAGGATATTTTGCGGCCGCCATCTTTAGTGCCCGAAGTTCGGAGGATAGCCATTTTTTTTAAACTAGGAAATAGTTAATAAAAGTAGAATAGTAAGACAACCATTTTTTCTGCACATTCATATCTCCGTGGTCTGCAGTATACTAGTTAACTAATTTTGCATGCTTTACCTATTTTTTTTTTTTAAATCATGCATCGATGTGTTACACAGCTGAAACTGAACACGTTTTTTTTTAAAAGTTGAGTTTAGAGTTTAGGTGTTGACTAGCATTATTTTACTCAGTGTTCCTATATATAAACTCTTTTTAAATATAAACAAGTAAAACAGAATCAAAAAGCATACCTCTATGAATATCTAATTTCGTTTCTCGTTTGTAGTTGTCTGGATTCCGCGACAAAACTTTGAGAGAGAAATTCTTCTTCTTGCAGACCGTCGCCATGTTGAGAGAAGTTTTTGACTGCTGCTTTGTCCGACAGGGCTGCCAATAGGATTTTTTGAAAAACCCAGCTTAGCCAAACAAAAACCCAAGGAATTCCATACAAATTTGACTTAAAAGCTCAACAAAATGGGGAAGCAGTAAAACGTGAACAAAACAATGTTCACGTTTTACTGCTTCCCCATTTTGTTGAGCTTTTTAGTCAAAATTTTCTGGAATTCCTTGTATAAGCTTAACTGCAGTCACCCCCATATTTTCACTATTTTTGGAGAAACAAAAACCCAGGCATTCATCATCATCATCAGGTGCCTTGCCGACTAGCGTGGGCGATCATGCCTCTCCATAATCTGCGATCTCCTGCAGCATGTATCAGTTTGTGTGCTGACACAACTCTATGCCATGCAATAATACTGTCAAGAATCTTCTCTCGTTGTCTTCCTCTCTCTCTCTCCTTCCCCAGATCTTTCCAGTGGTAACAACATGTTCTTTTTTCCTTCTTCTCATAACATGGCCAAAAAATGATGACTGTCTCCTTCTGATGTCTGTGATAAGTTTCCTTCGGGCTCCCGCCTCTTTCAAAACCTTTTGGTTGCTTTTTTTGGCTGTCCAAGGTATTCTAAGCATTCTTCTGTAAAACCACATCTCTTAGGCCTCAAGAAATTGTTTAACCTGCCTACCGATTGTCCAGGATTCACAGCCATATATTAAAACTGGATGTATGTAGCAAGCAATAATTCTTTTTTCTAACCTTCAATGACACGGATATATTGCATAAGATGTTCTTCATTTTATAAAATGCAGTTTTTGCCTGTCCTATTCTGCTTCTTCTCTCAGTTATGCATCTTTCATCTGATGTTATCCATGAGCCCATGTTATCCATGTGCCCATGTTATCCATGTGCCCATGTTATCCATGTGCCCATGTTATCCATGTGCCCATGTTATCCATGAGCCCATGTTATCCATGTACCCATGTTATCCATGTGCCCATGTTATCCATGAGCCCATGTTATCCAAGAGCCCATGTTATCCATGTGCCCATGTTATCCATGTGCCCATGTTATCCATGTGCCCATGTTATCCATGTGCCCATGTTATCCATGAGCCCAGATACTGACATTTCTGTACTTGTCCTAAAATAACACTATCGACTTTTATTACCATTATTTCTGTCTTCTCATTATTCAAACTAAGGCCCATTCTTCCACTTTCTAACACCACAATGTCTATTATTCCTTGTAGTTCTTTCAGACTTGCTATCAGGACTGTGTCATCAGCATAACATAAATCGTTTATATTGTGCCCACCAACCACAATTCCGGGCGTATCTCATAATATATTCACTGTAAATTGAAAACAAATCAGGTGAAAGTACACATCCTTGTCGTACGCACCTCTTTATGCTCTGAAATGCACCTAAAAAGTTGGTAATTCTTATAGCTGCTGTTTGCTACCAATACATATTCTTTATTATTCGTAGATTCTTTATTATTCGTAGATCTTTTCCTAATTGTTTAATTTTTCTAACAGGTTGATTACTTCTTCATGCTTCACACAGTCAAATGCTTTTGTATAGTTTATGGAGCATAGGTTCAAATCAGTCTTTACTTCTATAGCTCTTTCTAAAAATGTCCTTAGGATGTATGTGGCATTACCCAAGCACTACATAAGCAAAGAAAAAAAAAAAAAACTCAGATTGGTAAAAAAGTACAAATTGTAGTTACGAAAAGAAACATTGACCTACTTTTATATAAGGATATATTTTTTTAAACCCTAGATTTCAAGATTTTTAGGAAAGATTCGTTGGGCTGGTCATGTGGCGCGCATGCCAGATCACAGGCTCCCAAAAAAAAAACTCTTCTATGGTGAAACCACAGGGGAAAAGATCTCGTGGAAGACCAAGGGAAACTCTACGTAGAACTATCATCAAGGAAGGCTCGCTCATGGGCCACTCAAACATCCAAGACCTACAACAGATTGCAACGAACCGCCATGCATAGAGATCTGCCCTATGTGCCGCACTCGACACAAGAGGAAAGACTAACTAACTATGGTGAAACGTTCCCAAGGCGGATAAAAGAAACGCTTGGACACCTTGAAGTCTTCACTCAAAGCATTTGGGATTAATGACACCAATTGGGAGGCTGCCTCTCAAGACCGAAATGCATGGCGTGCAACTCTACACAAGGGCGCGGCTACATGTGAAGCAAACAGAACAGCAAGACTGATAAAGAAAATGATGAACAAAAAAGCGACTCCAGGAGATCCCCTCCCTGGCACAACGCTCATTCCCTGTCCCCACTGTCCTAGAACTTTTCGGGCCCACATCTGGGCCTCATCAGTCATTTTCGTACTCATACTTGATGAAAAAGAGTGGTCATCATCATCTTGATGGACAACACACACACACACACACACACACACACACACACACACACACACACACACATTATTCCTATCCTTACCATCACCGGTAAGGATAAAAAAATTTACTAAGTCGTCAAATAAAAACCCAGATCTGGGGATACAACTCATCATTGGCAGCCCTGCTGTCCATCGTCTGTGTTGCCAGGTAAGCCAAACCGCACACGTGGAAACACTCGCCAGTGAAGAAAGTTAACTTTATCCTTACAAAGCAGGTGTTGCCATATGGCTTCATGACACAAGATTCCACAAATTTGGCGTATTTGAAATTGAGCTGGCTTTAGAAGATGTTAAAGAAGAGACTTTAAAACAAGCTAAGGAGTTTTAACTACTTAATTTATTCATGATTATGGAGGATTGGACAGAGAAATAGACAACATAGTACAGAAGGCCAACAACATTAATAACCTTCTAATTTCACCGTGTGGGTTTCAGGGGCCCTGTCATGGAAAACAAGAATAGACCCACTGCCTACCCAAAAGCATGTCGTAAGAGTCGACTAATTGGGAGGTTTCTTCAAAGTGGGAGTGCATCTGCTTGGGAGACAAGGAACCAGCAGTCTGCATATCGGAGAGTCAGTCCTGTAAAACGGATGCACCCGCATTCCAGGTTCTGGAACAAGACTGCAGTCTAGAAGTGGATGAACAACAAGAAGTTTCTGCCACACTTTACAGCTGGTGAACGCGAAGAAGATTGATAACCTAATAGCTCCACTTTTGATAGCAATGGTATCATAGAAAAACACAACCCCAAGGTTACAACATCTGCAATGAGATGTATAAGAATTCTCTCCATCGTCTTCTTGGTCTCCCTCGTGGTCTACGACCATTTATCTCCCTTGTGTATACAGTTGTTACTTCTCTGTCATTTGACATTCTTTCAGTATGCCCTAACCATTTCAGTCTATTAGCTCCCGTGATGCCAGTGATCAGTGGTCATTTAAACAGATTATGCATTTCGTTGTTGCTTCTCACTCTCCATTCACCGCTGTTTGCATCTTTGATGGGTCCAAAGATTCGTCATAAGACTGTTTTCAAAAACCTGTAATTAGGCTTCATCTCTTTTAGTTGTGCTCCAAGTTTCAGAGCCAAATAACACTACTGGTCTTATCAATGTTTTACATATTTTGATCCTGGTGTTGCGAGACAGTCACTTTGACTTTAGCAGATGTTGAAGGGCATAGTATACTTTATTTCCAGATTGTATTCTAGATTGTATTTCTTCTCTCAGCATGTTGGAGCAGTTGAAGTTTGCACCCAAGTACTTATCTGTTTCCCTTCGTTTGATTCTCATATTATCGACTTGTATGTGGCCGGAGTTTATATTCTTTCCCTGTCTAGTTATTATCATATATTCAGTCTTATCTTGATTGATAACTAGTCCTATTTTCTGAACTGATTCTTTTAAGACATTCAATGTTTTAACAATCTCTAGTTCATTTTCTCCAACGATGTCATCAGCATATCCAAGTATTCTTGTAGTTTCAATTTCCTTATAATTTTCTCCAGGGCCAAGCTGAAAGGAAAGTCGGGATAGAGCATCAGCTTGCTTTAAACCAGATGGTATTTGAAAAAGGTCTTTTTGCCTTTATATATTACTATATTACGAAGGTCTTCCATACATAGTTTGGTCATGCTAATTAACTTTTTTGGTATTCCAAAGTCCTTCATAGCATTCCATAAACTGTTTCTAAGCACACTATCATACGCCTTTTTACAATCCACAAAAACATTATGTACATCTTTTCTAAATTCCCAATTTTGCTCTGCGTTTTGCCGTAAAATGAATATCTGATCTATTATTGATCTGTTCTGTCGGAAACCCGCTTGGTAATCTCCCAATGTGTCTTCGACGTATGGTTTTAGTCTGTTTAGCAGTACTGCCGATAGTATCTTGTAGTTTGTATACAATAGTGATATTCCTCTATAATTTTCTCACTTATACCTGTCTCCTTTCTTAAAAATGGGTATAAAGACACTTTCCATTCATGGGGTAATTTATCCGTCTTTCAAACTAGTTTTATTAATTCATATATCTTTACCTTTAATTCATGATCACCTTCTTTTAAAAGATGTGGTTCTATGTAACATGCTAAAATGTTGTATCTAACATCTAAATAATATTCTGTATTTTGACTCGTGAAAACTATGAAACAATAATACCCTTTCCTAAAGCAGCAGCCCCACTAATACTAAACACTAGCCGTCACAGGTAGATGAGACTAATACAAATGTAGGTAGAACAAGACAGATTGTCCATGATTATGAATGAGACTAAGACAAATGTAGGTAGAACAAGACAGATTGTCCATGATTATGAATGAGACTGAGACAAATGTAGATAGAAACAAGACAGATTGTCCATGATTATGAATGAGACTAAGACAAATGTAGGTAGAACAAGACAGATTGTCCATGATTATGAATGAGACTAAGACAAATGTAGGTAGAACAAGACAGATTGTCCATGATTATGAATGAGACTAAGACAAATGTAGGTAGAACAAGACAGATTGTCCATGATTATGAATGAGACTAAGACAAATGTAGGTAGAACAAGACAGATTGTCCATGATTATGA